AAAAAATATATGTTAAAATATGTGATATTATCTTTATTTTAATATAATATTTATTAGTAAAATTGAAAACTTATATATAAAGAGAAAAACTCGCATTTTTCGTATTTTTACTATGTTTTATTAATAATTTTTTTTTAGCGTTCCATTCTTTGTGATTGCTACTGTATTTATGTATTATCATTATTATCATTATTTTCAAAATATTGCTCTTTTATTATAGGAAATTGTTGATAATTCTGGCCAAATGATCCGCATGATCTGCACAAATTTGGCCAAAATTTTCACATAATCCGTTTTTCATCATGATCCCCCACAATTATTACTGAAGGAGGAATCGTATTAATTATATGTCGATATACGTGTGCTATCGTTATTTGCGGAGTTTATTTTAATCTTATCCGACTATGTTACGTATCAGCACATGTATTACGTATTTGGGTGATACACTATATCAAAGAAGATGACATCTATCAATCTAAAATGTACAGAAATACGTAGAGTAAACTATGTACTTCATGCTAAATATTTTAAGTTTGCTGTTTCCATGAAATAGGAACCGCAAGAGATTTTGAAAAAAGCTTATCTTCTATGGGTAGGGTAAATTTAAGACCGAAGCATCTATCCTTTATTCTAATAGTGATTCTCAAAAATCGGTCATATCAATATTATTAATGTACGTAAATACATCATAACAATAATGATTGAAATGCATATTCCTATTATAACATTGATGGTATTCGTAATTTAGTCCCAATTTTTTTCTTTTTTGCTTCTTGCGTGTTGTTCAAGAAGGTGAAAATATATAGTATTTTTTGCACTATTTAACTTTATTTAAAGAATATTATAAGAAACGATTTTGTCATCTCCTATGTAGGTATTATTCTATTTCTAGAAATCAGATTTAAAAATTATATTTATGTATTTTATACAGTCCGAAATCGTGAAAAAATGATTTCTGGAATGTCGGAAGTTGATGAATTAGATGTAAAGTATGTTAACTTTTAAAAAACCTGAATATAAAACATTAGTGTTTTTCAAACAAAAAGGTGTTTTAAACTAAAAGATTCTTATACGTGTACGTAGAATGAAGCTAACATCAATACGGCGATCTCAACTTGCCGGATTCTTCCTCGACGTAGTTGAACTAGTTTGGGGAGAACTCGATACAAGCGAGAAAAATAAACTTCTAAAATTTCTCAAAAAGGTATATTTTAAGAAGTTAATTGATTGACTTAGCTGGATACATGTACATATTTAACTAATTGATCTTGCACTTACAATCTTTAATTCATAGTTATTCTACACAGCTAACTTTAAAGAAGTCATTGTGTTGCTAGCAATCTGTTATATTCTTAAACTTAATCTAAACTGTGACGGAGGCGATCTGCGATCCATCTTCTTGAACTGTGAATTATTCATCATCTCGGCACTACTTATCTCGTACAAATACCTAGAAGATGAACCATTTGTCAATAAAGTATGTAAAAGTTTGACGTATAGCTCACTTCAGACTATCATGAAAACTGAGTGGCTTTTTATGGAGAAGTTGGATTATAAAATCCATATGACGAAAGAGGAGTTTGATAAGTTTGTAATGTATTTTAAAAATAAGTTTAATTTTCCGGCGCAAATGGTGAGTTTATACTGATCGATTGACTATCAGATATTTTGAATTTCATAATTAATTTAAATATAATAATAGAAGGAAAATCCTATCGTTGTTTGTCGACCACCAACTCCGTCAGTTAAAAACCGTCGAAGCCAACAACCAAAGGGATCTAACAACTCGTTTTTTGCTATGGATCCGAGCAGATTCCTCCTGGGTGTCGCCAAATTTCAGAATAAGGGATCTAACGACTCTTTTTTGTTATTGAACCGAGCAGATTCTTCTTGAGTCGTGTCCAAATTAAAAATTAGAAATAATATTGGGATGTCTGATAAATATACTTCGATCACTATAATAAATAGTCATCACATTTTATTGTTGGATAGAATGGCCGTCTCTAATTGCAAATATTGCCAGTATTAATATCACTTCAACAAGAGTCAATAGTGACTCGATTCACATTGTGTCGTTTTTGTTGCGGAAGTGAGGTCTTTTTTCGTAGGAACCCGTGATTTTTTAGCGAATGCAATCAATACGGTAACACTAATTTATTTATTATTATTATGAATGGTTTTATTTGCATTACAGAACTATTTATTAAGATTATTATTAAAGGTTTTATTTGCATTACAAAAACTATTTATTATAGAATGTTAATATTTTTCTGTGATCAGCAAAAAATTTAGTGTTATTTTTTAAAAAGGCTACATCTTGAAAATTGTCAATAATCGAATGAATTCGTTTATTGAATTATTGTAAAGCGCGCTGTATAGTATTCCCCTCTTGTAAAATTTGCACCACAATTTAGTCCAATTTCTTTAGTGAATCCAATTATTTTTTTGCAAATAATTAAATTTGATTTCACTATGCGATTTTTCAAAACATTTAGCTACTAGTTTAATAGCCTTGAGGTTAAATTGAGGTTTAAATTTTTTAAATTTTCTGCAAAGGAAGATGTTAAACAGAGCGCATTACAGTAAGCATTTTAATTTGGTAAAAGATCTTACTTGGAGGTGAGGGAGGCACCTCTATCAAAATAATATTAGCTAATATATGTCAGCACCCTAACAATGTATAAAATGTGATTTGATCTATAAAAAGCCGTTTTTGTGCATGAAACATCCTTCAAATTATATGTATATTTAATATCAGGTTGTCATTTTGCTGTTCCAGCTATGAATTCATTAGAGGCTGCCAAATAGAAATCTAGTATATCTGATGTTTGATTCTTTGAAAAATTCCGTTTTTACAGCTTATAAGACTTATTTTACATTTCTAGATAAACTAAGTATGTACATATCTCCCTTTGTAGAAAATTTAAAAATTTAAACATCAATTTAACCTCAAGGCTATCAAACTAGTGACTAAATTTTTTAAAAACCACATTGTGAAATCGAATTTTATTTGCGAAAAAAACAATTGGATTTACTAAAGAAAATTGGACTAAATTGTGGTGCCAATTTTTACAAGAGGGAGATATTATATCAAGCTCTACCCCCACCCCTTAACATATTAGCTAATAAATGTCACTGCCCATATCGCGACACGGTAAAAATATTGTTATTCTGAAAGATGCTTTTATTTTGATTGCTTTGAGACAGAGCTAGTATGGTGCATAAAATCTAAAGTCATCAAACGTTTGTATTTTACAAAATGTATAAACTTCTTTACTAAGAAGTAAATACAAAATTTAATCCGTGAATATGATAGAATAGGCTTTTTCTGAGCATATTCACGGATTAAATTTTGTATTTACTTCTTAGTAAAGAAGTTTATACATTTTGTAAAATACAAACGTTTGATGACTTTAGATTTTATGCACCATAACAACTCTATTTAAGCGATTATCTTTTTACTCCAATTGTATTATCGATTCTGGAGAATATAAAATTCGAGAGATAGTAAATTTGATGACATTATAGTCTGACACGCTCTAATAACCAAATAATAGTATCTGTTTTTTCTTTATTTATAAATTTATGGAAGATAAACACTGGTCGTCGAAAAGTATTAGTTTCACCTGGTTAACATCAAAGGTTAAAAAATAGTGAAAAATGCAACTTTATTATTTTTTATTGCCAGGTTAAAAGCAAACCTTTCGACAATGAACATCTTTTTAAAGGCAGAAGAGAATTGAGTGAAAAGATACTGTCATTGATATTATAATATTAAATGACACAGAAAGTATTATAAATTATTGTTAATAATGAAGGAAGAAAGCCGAAATACGCCGAATGAAAATTTTTAGCTTATTGTAAATTTTAATTTTTTGGTTTAGCCATTCTAAAATACTTTATTTTTATTGATTAAATTTTAAAAATATAATATGTTTCAACCTATAAAATGGAGTGTTCATCTGCAAATTTATAACTGCGTATACATGGGTTTCTAACTGGCAGTCCAATATGTCTGGTTTAACAGGAGTAATGTTAGCATCATTAGTTTCACACATGAGATCTGGTTTTACGAGAGCAACGTGTGATAATTTTTTCTTTTATTGCAAATTTTATATCAATCTACAGCTAAATACATATCCAGTTCGAAGTCTCCAAAGGAGAGCCAGAGAATTTATCTAAATTAAATAGGAATTGTATTATCAAGAACTGAGTGCTACTATTTCCTTGATATATTGTTACCTATGCTAACTAGAAGAAGAACAAAACTATACAGTGACTTTGAATAGCAGAAAAACCGGCCAAAGGCAGGAACTTAATAGAACAATATAAACTTGGAAATGTTATCGTTATGAAAATAAAAATTCACCAACCATTTTAGTAAACATGTTGAGACCATACAACAAAAATTTATTGTGAAAAATCAGATATTAAATTAACATTGTTTTGCGCCACAATAAAATATAGATGAATTTATTATAAACAATTAAATACAGCCACACCTCACTATAATTATACCTCTCTGTTACAGCTAAGGGAGTTGTGACTACGTATATGGTGGTCAAATTTCACAGATTATCCTTCAGGAAGTTTTTTATGTCTCCGGACATGTTCTATGACATATCCGGATAAATCCCATGTACATATACATTTGCTCCGAATAAGACATAATCATAAACATTGTCCCATGAACATATCTGGAGATATGAGATACATCTGACATAGAGTGGATCAAGTTAGTACAGGTATACCTGTAAAAAAATAAAAGAAAATAATCAGGAAAAGGTCCAGTTTTTTAGTTCTGAAAATCGCAAGTTTTGTTAACAAATTTCCAAATCTGATGAAAATCTGATTAAAAATGAAAGAAATGGAGAAAATGAAAAATTTGTCTGGTAACTTTAAGACATGATATCTCATGACTCACTAATCCAATACAAATAATATACCATTCGATTCACAAGGACTTGGTGAATCGAATAATATATTATTTGTCCAGATTAAATCAGTGAATCATGAGATATCGTGTCCAAAATTTACCAGACAAATTTTTCATTTTTTCCATTTCTTTAAAAATGGATTAATATCTCATTACTCAACCAAATTTAATAAAAATAAAGCCATGTATTTACTGAGATTTAGTAAAATAGTGCCTGAATTTTGGTAAAATTGGCCTGGTGGATCATGATATATGTTTCAAATTAAGTATTGCAAATTGGATAAAAATAAAATCACATATTTATTGAGATTTGGTCTGGTAGATCATGATATATCATGCTTCAAATTAAGAATTCCAAATTTTTTTTCAAAAATTATAACTAATTTAGTAACTTTGAAATATAATATCTTATGAATTATCAAACTATTTTTATAACAATACTATTTAATTCACCAAAACTAGATAAATTTAATGATAGTGTGTTTTAAAATAATGTATTTATTTTAATTTTGAACAAAAAAATTTAAAATTGATTCAGTAAATTTGGAATATAATATTTCATGATTCACTGATTTAATTTAAATAAAAAATATTATTTAATTTATCAAGATTAAATAAATCAAATGGTAATATTTTTATTTAGATTAGTTTAGTAGATTATAAGATATTATATTCACTGTTTTTATTTTAATCCAAAAATTTGTTAACAAAACTTGTAATTTTCTGAAACTAAAAAATTAGATATTTTTCTGATTATTTTTTTACAAAGATATATTAATATCAATTTCTTGTCAAATCTGTTAATTTTGTTCTACAAGTTCTCCTTATTCAAAATTTGTCTAGAAGAATATTAAAAATAATGATTAACATTATTTTATAAATATTTAATATGATTCAAATCAGGTAATTGTGACAACCAATTCAAATTTTAGTTAATATAATCTCTTGACTTTTGTTGCAATATTATATTTATAGTTTTGTTATTTGTTTATAACCTTTCATCACTATTGCAAAGTTATATTTATTGATATTTGTTAAGTTATAATATCTTGTCACTACTGCAAAGTTATACTTATCTTAGTTTGTTTATAATCTCTCATTTTAATTGCGAATTAATAAAAAGAATCATTAACACTTTACTTGTCTATAAACTATTTATAAAAGTTATAATTGTGTTTAAAAAAAGATTTCTGAACTCATTTTAGTTGCTCAACAAAATGAATATTACCTATATTTAGAAAAAATATAAAACCATATAAAATGATAACAATATTCTTAACTATAAAAAGAAATAATCACCCTGTTTGCATTCAGACAGATTCATTATCGTTATTTAACATGTCGATGTGAAAGTTTAATGTGTAACATATCTATCGCTATGTGACGAGTTAGGATGCAATTTGTGAGTTTATCATTATTCATTTTCGTCTGTGTTTGTATACATGAAAATGACACAGGAACATAATTCTGTACAGCACAGATGGGTGGATCAAATTTGTAACTTTAGCCAGAATTAAAGCATAACTACAAAAAATCTGTATAACATGGGAGATATTTTATGCCGCGTTTTACGATGATTACATGTATAAATAAATCAGATAACACATTTTATTTAATGTTTTGCCTTGTATTTATTATATTCAATTTAGATAGTATTATGCAAGACGAAATACAAATTTCATTAGGTACGATGAACATCGACGAATTCCCGGGTAGTGTCACGAAGCTTGTCAGCAGGCGCAGTGGCAGCTCCGACTAAAGTAATGTGTATATGTGATTGTTCAGAAGAATCACGAATACTATTTAAACGAAAATAAATACTCACCAATAGCTTCAGTTGGTGGCTTATCTGGAGCCGCTGGATGAGGATGAGTTGGGACCATAGGTCGAGTGTTATGCCAGTTTTGACCGAGTTCTTGGATTTGTTCTTGGGAGATGCGGTTTTGTAGTTTAGGGATATTCTCTTCTTCCTCTTCTTTAGAATGTTTAATGAATTCCTATTTTCAATAAATATTAAATGATCTTTCGAAATAACAACGAATCAATAAGAAAGTTCTATAAAGTAATGAAATTTTACCTCCATAGCGGAATCCAATTTTGGAACGTAGCCAGCATCACTGGTCTTCATTCCGTCCAATTCATACATGATATTCTTGATACCAAGGTGTTCTTTACGAGCATGATCGGCGAAACTTTTGCCATTTTCCATGAACTGTTCGAAAGCAGGGTAAAGAACAATTTCTTCGGTGGCCGAATGAATCGAGACTATTGAATAAAACTCATTTGTAAAATAATTACGCAATAGTGAAAGTTGAAAATCCAATTAAGTAATAAATGCTAAAAATACCTTCACGAACAATAGTATTCGCAATCTTTTGTCTTTCATGTTCATCTTTCTCATTCTTGAATTGTTCATAGAGTTGTTTGATGATAGAGTGGTCCTCCTTTACTTGCGTGAAGACGTCTTTAGACATTTTGGTATTAATGCTCGTAGTTTGAGTGGCAAGGGAGCGATCAAGTCTCGTAATTTTGTAAATATTAATGTTATTGATTAAATGTTGTTGCTTTAATGTTGAAGAAAAAAGATTACGAGTAAATCTAATTCTGAGGTGCATATTGTACCTTTTATAATTGTGTGAGTAGATGAATCAATGATATATAACGAAATAATTATATTATTTCTCACTAAATCTTTACTCTAACAAAGTACCTGAATCGATCAAATAAATGCTAAATCTAAACACCTTGTTCCCACGCCGATGTATGTAAAATTCTCCCGTCGCCGCATCATTCCTTGACGTTAACAATACGTCATCACAGCTACATTTACACTTCAGATCGTTCTAACTACGATAAATACTGTTACCGCTTAATAATATCAATATATCGAGAATAAATTACGTATACTGTTACCAAAGTAACGTTAAATCCTTTAATTCCATAATTTATGCGCTTAATTTGTCCATGAAAATCCAACCTTAAATAATCCACAATAGAATTTCCTAATTCCGTAAATCTCCTTTCGATTGTATTCTTAAACAAAAATCCTTTTTTAGATTAGTTTCCTTAATTAACCCGAATTACAATACGAGACTATACCTTTTTCCTTAGTCATAAATCTTTAAGAAAAATAGATTAGAAATCGAACGAGATACTTGATTGTTGATAATAAGCCCCAAAGAAACAGATGTAAAATACTAACCTTAGAATTAGCGTAGTAATTCGGTCCTGTATATATAGAGGTGCTTTCGAGCCTTTGTAGAAACATGCTTTGATCTAATAAAATAACAAAGTTCTTACTCGTAATAGTAACAATATTTGTGAATACAATAATACATGTGAATACACTATTATTTTATTCTATTGGTCGAACTTGTGAGTAGTGGATGCTCCTCCACTCTAAATAAGCCGTCGATTGTGTTTTTGATATGATTGTCATTTAGATTTGAGTTTTTCTTTGTCCGGGCCGCATCGATAAGTCCTGTTGAATTGTTTTATAAATAGGCCGTATCAATAAGTCCTATCGTGTTATAATTATTAGTTTGATTTTGGATTATTCTTTTACTATAATACTATTATTTACAAACGCCCCCCCCCCCCCTTTATCTTTATAACGTCGATTTGCGTACAAGTCGCCACGGGAAGCCTTTAGAACGTCCAAAGAAACCCTTTACTCGTAAATAATTCAGTCTAGCTCTCACCTCTGTTGCGAAAGACTCCTCTTTGACTAATTATTATAATCAACGCAACAGTACAGTCATCTATAACATATACGTATCCATTTATAGCTTATTTGACTTTTCAACTACATGCACATGTATCATGTTAAACGATTATAAAAATATATTTTTTATAATCACCCCTATAATCAATTTCAAAGGGTAATAACTATAAAGAATTTGATTGAACTAATGTTTTTAGTGTTCCATTGAACCAGATTCGAATCAGATTTTTGAAAAGTTCACGCCCAATTTGAACTCAAATCAGATTTTTAATCTGATTCAAACTTCAATTTTGAAATACATGTACAATGTTTTCACAAGAAATGATAACACCCAATAAAAATTTTCTAGAATTTTTCTCTTTGTCATTTTGAAACTCTAATATTTTTAAAAAATAATTTGATGACACATTATTTTAGTTAGTAATTCATATACAGTGACGATCATGAATAATGCAACAAAAAAATAAAATCAGTCAAATCGAAATATTTCGCGCAACTTTGGAGATATCCTTTTTTTATAGTAGTACAAAACACGTGTTGCATAACATATAATCGTTTTATGCAAAATCGGATGGTCATTGTCGTGCTACATGTACAGTGGCGCTCAAAAGTATTGCATCACCTGGACGATAAATTTCACGATTTAATAACGTTTCATATACAATATCAATCAATAAATAAATAGGCTCATTATAATGCCTATATATGGACAAAACATCATATCATATTTATTTTCCATATCATACATTTAAAAAAAAATAAACCACATTTTACACCAAATCAAGTGATCCATTTCTTTTGATCGTTTTGATAAATAAAAATAAAATCGAGATTACTTACTAAACTAAATAAATTTATGAAAATTTAATCCCCAATTTTAATTACCATCTAGTATAGCCACTCTTCATATTAATTACATCTTGAATGCGTTCCTCCATACTTTCAATTAGCTTTATTAAAAACGCGTTATCAATTTCAATCCAAATTTTTGTATCACATCCCACAATTGATCTTGAGTATGGATACCAGTTGACGACATTCTCAAATGACGATCTATTTCGTTCCAGAGATGCTCAATTGGGTTAAGATCAGGTGATTGGGCAGGCTAATCGAGCAAACAAATATCATTATCATCAAACCATTCATATATAGATTTTGCTGTGTGTTTCAGATCATTGTCTTGTTGAAAGACAACATCATTTTTATTAATTTCATATTACTGGATTGTTCCTAAAAGGTCATCATTTAAGATTTCACGATATAAATTCTTATCCATATGACCATAAATGCGTACGATATTATCAATGCCGAAAAATCTGAAGCAACCCCAAACCATTATATTCCCACCCCCAAATTTTATTGTAGGTTTTATGTGATGCTCTTTCAAAGATTCATCATCACGTTTCCAGTAATATTCACGTCTGTCTGAATTAAAAATCATAAATTTTGATTCATCTGACCAGATGACTTTGCTCCAATCATTAATAGTTCAATGATGATATTTTTTCGCAAATTTTAAATGTTGAATTCGATGTGTTTTTTTGAGATATGGTTTTTTTCGCTTAATTCATGAAAAAAGACCATTACGATGTAAAGTTCGCTTTATTGTGCTTGTGCTGACATTAATTTTATCATCAGTTTTTAATTTTTTTGGATAGATGTTGCAGTGGGAAAACTATCATTCGAAATTAAACGTATAATATTTCGTTCATTACGTCCAATAAAATTCTAGGATGATCTGGTTTTGGTAAATCTTTAAAGGTATTATGAGTATCTTTTTTTTTGCTTTATTCTTATAATAGAGAATTGGAAAATATTTTCACGATTTGCAATATAATGGGAAGAATATTGTTACCATTTTATATGAGTTCTTGGGAGAGCTGGTGAGTGCTAATTATAGTAAAGTTTATTAAGAATGACGGGTGGGAGAGTATAATATAATCAAATCTATATAATACATCAAGCATTAAACTATGATTATAAACGAATCTAAAGGAAGGTAACAGTGTGTTCATGACGTGGTCAGCTAGAATG